CAAAAAGAAAGGGCTTGAAATGACTTTTAGTGGGAAAATAACGACCATAAGTTGTCGAATCGACTTAAGTGATTGCGATCACCTGAGTAATAACCTGATTTTCAGACCCTTGTACCGAATGGTGTACCTTTTGTGCTGCACACAGTTTCAATCAAGTTTGGCCAGTACAAGTAGTGGGTTATTGATGTAGACAAATGCTCATGTACCTGTTACAGCTCATTTTATGTATGTTATTACCAAAGACAAAAAAGATGCCAGTCAGTCACTAAATAGTCAGTCAGTCTCTAAATAGTGTCTGACAGTGAAGTCTAGAAAGTAAACAGGTTTCCTTGCATAATTTGAATGTTAGGACACTGCTAACGTTTAAATTTCACAGATAGGACATACATGACATATTCTTCATTCCTGCACTGACAGTTCTTCATAATTTGATGTTGGCTGCAAAAGGGACACAGTGTCTTTAATGTAGTATGCTGATCAGGAAACCTCAACCTCAAGATTCAAGATTTATTTATTTCTTTCCACTTGCATAAAAAAAAATTTCATTCAGTAACAGTAGTAACAAGTTCATCGTAAACTAGCATAAATACATTAACAATGAAACAGTTATAAAGACTTTAACAAATGTGGAAAAAGAGGTGGTCTGTTAAAAAAGCACAGCTTGTTAAAACACAGATCACCTTTACAGAAACAACATTTTCTTTAAAAAGAAGTAGGTTATATTACAGGGGGAGGGGGACTAATACTAATCTAGTTACCTATACAGACTATAAATAAATATCAGATCTACCACTAATTTACAAAATATGGTTGACTAAAAAAGAAAACAGAATAAAGATAATGGAAAAGTAAAGAAATAGGGGAAGGAGGATAATGTACAACACGGGGGGGGGGGGGGACAATGCTATTCCAGTTACCTACCGGTATATTGAATACTAATAAAAATCAGATCTATTCACTGTAGGTGTACAGTAGATGAAATTTCAGCTTACGTTTGAAGACAGAAGAGCTTACAGACTGCCTAATAGAACAGTCTAAAGAGTTCCAATACTTTGGTCCAGTATGTGCAAGTGTATTAATCCTAAGCTGAGTTCTAGCTGATGATACATGGTATAAGGCAGCCTGCCTAGTAGAGTATTTGTGTATCTGGTTATTCTTTACAAAAATAGATGCTATTGACATGGGAGCTTCACCCTTCTCCAACTGATACATAAGATATCCCAGATATAGAAAATATATATCTTTTACCTTCAGCATTTTATTTTCGTAAAATAGCTTGTCAGTGTGAGCACGCCAATCAGCTGCCGAAATAATTCTCACTGCTCTCTTTTGAATGAGCAGAATTTTATTTAAGTAGGATTTGGCTGAGGCACCCCAGGCTAGCACACCATAATTTAAGTATGGCAAAATTAAGGAACAGTACAACATGCTAAGAACTTTTCTTGGGAATACAAACTTTAATTTGTTGATCATACCAACATTTCTAGAGAGCACTTTACTTAAATGAGTAGTATGCATCTTCCAAGTCAATTTATCATCAATGTGGAGACCTAAAAATTTAATAAATGAGACCTTTTCAATATTTACCTGATCAAAGACTACATTACCAGGCATTACTGTTTCACTATTACTGAATAACATATGTTTAGTTTTTAATAAGTTTAGCGACAGTTTATTTGCATGAATCCATTTAGTCAATACACAAAGCTCTCTATTTACAGTTTCTAAAAGAGTATTTAAGTTTCTATGAGAACAGAATACACTTGTATCGTCTGCAAATAGCAAAAAAGAAAACGTCTCTGAGGATTTTGGAAAATCATTTACATATAAAATAAAAAGCAGGGGACCCAAAAGGGAACCTTGAGGTACTCCACACGTGACGGGTAACATATCTGAACAAATTTCGCCGAGCTGCACAAATTGCTGTCTGTTACTAAGATAACTTCTAAACCATTCGATTGCAGGTCCTCTTACCCCATAATAAGAGAGCTTGTGCAACAAAATATTATGGTTTACCGTATCAAAAGCTTTGGAATAATCCAAAAATATACCAACCGTATGGAGGTGTTTATCAAGTGCCGAAGATATTTTGTCTAAAAGACATAAAACAGCATGAGAAGTTGTGTGTTTCTCGCGAAAACCAAACTGAGAATTTGAGAAAACTTGACACGACTTCAAAAACTTTATCAATCTAATATATACAAGCTTTTCCAAAATCTTGGAGAAGACAGTAAGTAGAGAAATTGGTCTATAATTACCAGTTTCTACAGGGTTCCCTTTTTTATATATAGGCACAACTTTAGCTATTTTCATTTTTTTAGGAACAATTCCATGCATTAAAGACAAATTATAAATGTGAGTGAGAGGTACGACTACAAATGAAATTACTTCTTTTATCAAATCATTAGTTATACCATCGTATCCAGGGCTCTTCTTCCTTTTCAAGCCACTTACAACATCTATAACCTCAGAATTCACTACAGGAACAAAAAATAAAGACTTTTCATTTGGACTGGTTAAATAATTTCCATAGGTTTCCTGTATATCAGGTATGGAGCTAGACAGAGTAGCACCAATGTTAGAAAAATATTCATTAAATGCTTCACACATAAGTTTCTTGTCTTCAATAAGACCATCCTTCCAGGTGAGTTTTGTAATACTCTGTAGTTTAGGATTGGTTTTCAAGACATTTCGAATAACTTTCCATGTTCCTTTAACATTATTTCACGTAGACTGGAATTGAAATTGATAATAGTCTTTCTTTGCTTGGCGCAAAGCAGAAGTCAATATATTTCTATAGTTAGTATACTTAAGCTTGGCTACACCAGTCTGCTTTGCTTTGTATCTACAAAACAAACGATTCTTTTTATTTATTGACCTGAGTAAAGACTTAGTGACCCATGGCATTCGAGGTACTCTTTTATATTCTTGCTTACTTCTTTGCACCAAGGGAAAGCATCTGTCATAAGATAACACCATTATATCCATGAATTTATCAAAAGACTTATCAACTTCTGTTTCACATAAAACTTCGTTCCATTCAACAGTTTCCAATTCTCTCTTAAATTTTGCTATATTTCCCTGAGTGAATTTCCGTGTTAACTTATCACAGGATTCAGTACAAGAACTCCTTAATGCTAAAGATGTTCTAGCAAATATAGGGAAATGATCAGATATATCGGCCACTATTACACCAGCAGTGGGAATAGGGTGCAAATTGGTCAAAATATTGTCAATTAAGGTTTGTGAGTTATCTGCTACTCTAGTTGGCTTATTAATAAGAGGAATCAAAGAGAATGTACTTAAAGTATCAACAAAATTATTAACAGAGTTATCGTGATCATAACAAATTTATATTAAAATCACCCATAATAATTATTTTTTTATTTCTGGATAATGGGCTTGAAAGAGTGTTAGACAATTCTTCAATAAATTCATTCACATCACCATTTGGTGGCCTATAGACTACTCCCACTAACAAGTTTTTTTCTCCAGGAATTATAATCTCAACAAATAGAGATTCTAGTGAATCATTCATAATGTACAATTCTGTTTTTGTATGACACTCAAATGAAATGGGAATATACATTGCTACACCACCACCGGATCTGCTTTGTCGATCATTAGTGATTAGTTGATACCTAGGAAGATCGTACATGGCAGTTGGATGACTAGAAAACCAAGTTTCAGTGATTCCAATTATTGGGTACTTATCCTGAAAAGTGTCCAAAAACAAGGAAAGCCTGTCAAAATTTGCATTCATGCTACGCACATTAAAGTGCAAAAAGGACGTTTCATTGACAGGACAGTTTTCTAAATGTTCAGAAAATTGTTTTTCAGTAAAATATTTTGAGTCGTGCACTGTAGCTTCAACCTCGTCATTCAACATATATTCAAAATGTGTTGCATTCATATTCAACTCTGCAACAATATTATCATCAGACTGAGTGTGGCTCAATTGAGTAGCATTAACCTGAGGCATCATAACCTTGACTAAAATCTGCACATAGATCTGTGGTTATAAAGAAAGTAACTGGATTTAGCAATAGCACAAAAGGGGAAAAAAAGACATCATGTACACACAATTGACAGAGATGTTAAAAGCCATCCTTTCCGCATGGTCAAGCATCACATGTACAAAAATGTGATGTGTTAACATATTTACAAACTTCCTCAAAATGAGTAAGGAAAAAAGACTCATTTACAGAGGAAAAAAAACTAACAAGTAACAACAAAAAAAAAAAACGTGGGTTGCTTCTGGGGCCCAGAATCAACCTAAAAAAAATAATGATTTTCTCTAGCGTACATAATACATATAGAGGTCTACAGACTGTTTAACATACATTCATTATGACTCACATCATTCACATGTGAAGAGATCAGATTGGTCGTTTTACTCACTGGTTAAATATCCAACCAAGTAGAAAAAGAGGTTAAAGAAGTACCTGGAAAATTCATAGGAATGCTATAAATTAGATGCAAAGAAACAAAACAATAGAGTTGAGATCACAGATAAACACAGTCAAGCCTAATGAAACATCGAGCTCATGAATTGACGGTCGTAATATTAAGATACATGATGATGTTGTCCAAAATGGCAATGAATTATACAACTGGATTTGAGTTATTTTGTAGAATATGAAGTTGTTTAATTTCGAGGTGTAGAGTTTCATTGATATGCGAATATAATTATATAACTAATTTTGGTCTAGGTTTAAAGGCCCACTGTATTACTTGTAGCTACTTGCTCCCTCTATATAAAAAAAAATGTCCAATCGGAGCCTGTTGGTCCCCCATGATCCTCGTTTTCTTATGTTAAATGAGAGCTGAGTTGATGAGATAGCCACCGGTCAAGTGACCTCGCTGGGTGGTATAATCTGTCCTTTCCACACCGTGAGTACAGACACGCTTAAACGATTAAACTTAGTCCACTGGGTTATGACGAGTCAAAGTCAACCTTCTCATCTCGTATAACTGACTATTGATCTAACTCATTAAAGGCCCACTGCACTACTTGTAGCTACTTGCGCCCTCTTACAACAAACAATGCCTAATCGGTGACCATTGGTCCCCCATGATCCTCTTTTTTTTATGTTAACTGAGAGCTGAGTTGATGAGATAACCACCTGTCCAGTGAACTTGCAGGGCGCTCTAATCCCTCCTGTAAACTATGGCAGATAAGCTTTAAAGCCTCGGTCACAAATGCCATTACGAACTGCTACGAACGCCTTACGAACGATTTTCAGACAATGGAAATTCGGGTAGACAATGGAAAAACAAGGAGATTCGTACGGAATTATCGTTCGTACGAACCTTTGTGACCGTAGCATAAACTCCCACAAAAATCATGTCAACAGAAAACGGATGTCTCGTTATTCATGAAAGGATAACAATAACAGTTTTAAAAAGCTTTACATTTGCTTGATTAGCCTAATGAAAACAATCTAATCACTTTTTAACATTTGATTGTTTTCATACGTCTAATCAATCACAGTCACACCTATAACCATGTGACGTATAAATAACGAAAATGTATGCTTATTGTGAGTGTTTGCTTCATTAATTTATCAAAAACATATTAAAAACCACTTGTACTTTAATACAATGGCTTCTAGGCTGGTTCACAAAAGTACTTGATGTTTAATACAGAGCATGAAATTGTGAATGGTACATTATGGTTGAGGTTGAAGAATACGAGATATATAGTATAATATATTATGAATGCTTTATGGTATGGAAAGTAAGATATGGTGGACCATATGTTGTAGATGTTGTTGTTTTATTGTTGTGTTGTTGTTGATGTTGCTACTGTTGTCGTTGCTGGTGGTGGTGAAGGCAGTGGCGTTAGTGGTTATGTTGGTGATGATTGCAGTGGTGATGGTGGTATTGATGGTGGTAGCGGAGAGGGTGGTGATTGCAGTGGTGATGGTGGTATTTACGGTGGTAGCGGAGAGGGTGGTGATTGCAGTGGTGATGGTGGTATTGACAGTGGTAGCGGAGAGGGTGGTGATTGCAGTGGTGATGGTGGTATTGACGGTGGTAGCGGAAAGGGTGGTGATTGCAGTGGTGATGGTGGTATTGACGGTGGTAGCGGAGAGGGTGGTGATTGCAGTGGTGAAGGTGGTATTGACGGTGGTAGCGGAGAGGGTGGTGATTGCAGTGGTGATGGTGGTATTGACGGTGGTAGCGGAGAGGGTGGTGATTGCAGTGGTGAAGGTGGTATTGACAGTGGTAGCGGAGAGGGTGGTGATTGCAGTGGTGATGGTGGTATTGACGGTGGTAGCGGAGAGGGTGGTGATTGCAGTGGTGATGGTGGTATTGACGGTGGTAGCGGAGAGAGTGGTGATTGCAGTGGTGATGGTGGTATTGATGGTGGTAGTGGAGAGGGTGGAGGTGGTGGTATTGATGTTGGTAGTGATAGGAGGCCCGTAGCTCTGGGGGGGGGGGCACAAATGTCCAAGATCAATTGAACTTTTTAGACCCCTCCCCCGGACGTCGATCAATTACATGTTTGTGCCCCCCCCCCCAAAAAAAAAACAACAACAAACAAACAAACAAACAAACAAAACAAAACAAAAACATCAAACTCTGGCTACGGCCCTGAGTGTTAGTGATGGTGTAAGTGGTGTTGGTGCTGAAGGTGTATATTGGCGATGATTTTATTGTTCGTAGATGGCTGGATGATTTTCGACAGGCAATAATGATGGCGCTATTCACCCCACACAATCCCGCAATATTGATCAGGGGGGAGCGATTTGATCAGAATAATTATGACGATTACTCCTTTTTCAGGGAAGCACAAAACAAAATAATATACGCCATGTGTGAATAGATGCCCCCGCCTCCGCCCCCGTTTTGATTATGTAGACCAGGCGCGGATCCAGGATTTCTTAGGAGGAGGCCCTAATTTGAAATTATACGAGCCAAATATTGGTACGTAATGGTGACCAGCAGTGACGTAATTAGGGGTGGGCGGGTGCAGGGAGGGGCGAGTTTTCCCCTCCCTCCTCCGCGAAGCGCGGAAGCTTTGACATTTTAATAAATTATTAGAGAAAGAAGACGATTCGTTGTACCGTTCCCGAAAATAATCCTCGTCTGAATTATTTTCCCCCCATCCCGCGAGAAGCGCGAAAGCTTTGACATTTCATTAAATCATTAGAGAAAGAAGACGATTCGTTGTACCGTTCTCGACTCTTAATCCTTGTCTAAATTCAGTTTCCCCCTCCCCACCCCCCTACCGCGCGAAGCGCGGAAGCTTCGACGTTTCATTAAATCATTAGAGAAAGAAGACGATTCGTTGTACCGTTCTCGACTCTTAATCCTTGTCTAAATTCAGTACCCCCCCTCTCCCACCCGAAGCGCGGAAGCTTAGACGTCTCATTTTTATTTATTTATTTATTTATTTCTAATCTTTTGACAGGGTAGCCCATTCACCAACAAGTAGTGGTCTTCCATGGGGCCCTGAATGAACATATTTACATCGTTTATAACATTTATACAGAACAGTTACAAAAATATTACTTGTTTGCAAAATAAACATATATCAACCTAGTAAACAGTAATGTCAATAGGAAAATATTAATTAAGTCGCAATTATGTTAATAAGTCATGTAAATATTACAGAACATGCACGTAGTGTATGTACGGCTGAGCCATTCACAAATTACAACTTTGTTTAAACAATCTCTTAAATGAATTGACAGAGGAAGCCGTTCTCAATGAATTATCTAGCTTATTCCATTCAAATATGGAAGAAACAATTGGGCTACACTTATAACAATCAGTGTGAAATCTAAGCACACGTAAACATCCACTGTCTATTTGCCTTGTATGATGCTCTTGTACATCATTAGGATTGATTAAGCCTACCTGAAGGTAAGAAGGTGTTAAGTTATGAACGCATTTATATCATCATAACGCGACTTAACTCAAACCGCTTGTCAAGTGTCATCCATTTTGAACAAATCAGCCGACGGTGTGTCATATGACTTGTTCAATATTATTCTTGCGGTCCTCTTTTGAAATTTTTGCAGCTTAGTTGTATGAGAATGAAATCGGTTCGACCATACAACAGAGCAGCATTCTAATCGTGGCAACACTAGACTGTTATAAAGTAACTTTAAGGATTTTTGAGGCCAAAAACTCTTTGCTCTCTTTATCATGCTAATGTTTTTCTGAGTAAGTTTACTTACGTTTTCGATTTGTTTAGACCATTTCAATTCTTCATCTATCAAAATTCCTAAGCATTTGGTGAATTGAACTCTTAAATTATTATTACTCATTAAATTATTAGAGAAAGAAAAAGATTTGTTGTACCGCTCTCGAAAACATTTTTGTTTCCCCCTAATTACGGTCAGATGAGCATTATTTTGATACCTAATTGTTACAGTGGCAGGTCACTTATTGGCTTGGGGTTCAGGGGCGGAGCCCCGGAATCTCAAGGGTTTTAGGCACTCAATTACGGTCAGATGAGTATCAAGGGGCCCGCCTAAGGGCTCTTGGTTGGGTCCAGGGGGCAGAGCCCCCGGAAGCTCAGGGGTTTTAGGCGTTTAATTACGGTCAGATGAGTATCAAGGGGCCCGCCTAAGGGCTCTTGGTTGGGTCCAGGGGGCAGAGCCCCCGGAAGCTCAGGGGTTTTAGGCGTTTAATTACGGTCAGATGAGCATTTTTGATACCTTATTATTTGTGACACTGTCAGGACACTATTTGGCTTGGGGTCCAGGGGGCAGAGCCCCCAGAAATCAGGGGTTTTATGCATTAAATGACCGTCAGATGAGCATCTAAGGGCCCGCCTTAGGGCCCTAGGTGGAATCCAGGAGGCAGAGCCCTTGGGGGTTTATGCATTTAATCATGGTCAGATGAGCATATTTTGATACCCCATTATAATGTGACACTGGCAGTTAACTATTTTTTCTTTCTCGCTCTCTTTCTTTCTATTTCTCTTTAATATACTTTTTCAAAGAAAGTATGAGGGGCTCGAGGATCCCGATCCCCGCCGTTCCGCGGGACCTGATATGTAGGCATCTCAAGAAGCATTTTCTTGCCTGGCTGTAAATTTAGGAATTAGTCATTTTCCAACTTCTTCCTCTTTTGTCCTTCCCTTGATCTCGTCTTTTTCTTTTTTCTTTCCCTTTCCTTCTTTCTCTTTTATTTTTTTTTATTGGGGGAATGGGGGAAGAGGGGGAGGCAACAGCCTGGGAGGCAAGTCCTTTTGCCCCCCCCCCCCCCTCCGATCTCCTTCTTCCCTCTTTTCTTTTCTTCTTCCTCTTCTCCCCCCCCCCCCCCCCCCCTTCTCTCCCCTTTCCCTTTCCCTTCTTTTCCTTCTCTCTCTCTCCTTTTTTTTTTTTTTTTTTTTTTTTTTGCGGGGGGGGGGGGGGGGGGGAGGTCCGCTCGCCCCCCCCCCCCTGGATCCGCGCCTGATGTAGACTAGATTTCTTCTTTCTCTGTTTGTACGACCATTGACCATACCCCAATGAAATTAGCTACCAACATGATCAAGGTGCATTTTGACCCAATGGTTAATATTGTCAGTACATAGTGTTCTTTACTTTGAAATGTGCGAACGAGGCAGTGACATGTTACATAGTCGGAACAACATAATTATTTAGGGGACTGAAATGTTCTGATCGAATTGCGGATACGGCCTTTACATGCATGTATTGGTTGGATGGTTGGTTTTTTTTTCCGTATAAAAATTCAAATAATACAATAATACAATTTACAAATATAATACAAATCAAGAATTAAAAAACGGCTGGAATGCTCTATTCAGAGCCATTAACAAAATGGCTCTGTTCTTCCTATAGGTCCAGACAACCTCCCTAAGCTTTCTTTCCGTTGATCCTCTCCATTCACAAAGACTTCGTGGGATGCCGGCCTTGATTTTAGTTGATAAATAACAAGATTTCAACTGATTTCTTTAAAAAGACAACTGTTGAAGGGTAGGCCATATCGTCACATAATGGGTTGTGAATAATCGTGTATGGTGATTTCATAAATCATTAGAAAGATTGTCCCTATTTTGAGACGACCCTCATATCTAAGAACATACTGAATAATTATACTGATTCAATCTATATCTTTATCTTTCGGGACTGTCTGTGTACTTTCCTATTTATATTTATCAATTTGTTGTATATACTCCTTAACAAAACAAAACAAACAAATAAAACAAAACAGAACGAGGAAACGATAAAAATCCAAAAAGCACAGACAACAACAACAAGAGAAAAACTTGTACACAAAATTATATTGAGAGCAAAAAGGTTACCCAAAACATTTCATAATATATTAAGGTTTGCAGCTAAGGAACTAAAAAAAAGAGATAAGCAAGAAAATGGGAAAGAAAGAAAAGAAGAACGCAATGAAAAAAAAAAAAATAATAGAATTTAAACAAGGAAGGAAGAGGGAGGGGTGGGGGTGAAACCAAAAAAAAGTATATAGTTTAAAGGTACTATGTCCTTTTTGCAGCCAACCTCAAATTCTGTAGAACTTTGCAGGAATTATGAATATGTCATGTATGTCCTATCTGTGAAATTTAAACGTTAGCAGTGTCCTCATATTCAAATTATGCAAGGAAACCCGTTTACCTGCTAGACTTCACTGTCAGACACTATAATTGAGTGACTGACTGGCTTTTTTTTCTTCTTTGGTAATAACATACATGAAAAGAGTTGTAAAGGGTACATGAGCATTTGTCTACATCAATAACCCACTTCTTGTGATGGCCAAGATTAAACTGATTGAATCTTTGCGCAGCATAAAACGTATGACCATTCGGTACAATTGTCTGAAAATCAAGACTATTACTTTTGGACTCTATAGCCCTAAAGTCGATTTGACAACTAATAGTCGTTATTTTCCCACTTGAAGACATTTTCAAGCTCCACCTTTTTTTAGGGAAGTTCTAAATTAGTATTATCTTTCAAATGCAGTTGGAATTTAACTTTTTCATTTTTTTGGCCTGCAAATGGGACATAGTACCTTTAAAGAATATCCCAAGCGAAGGTAAATCCAAAATATTAATTCAATGAACAAAATCATTAACAAATAATATAATAATAAAATATTACATTTATTAAGCGCTTAATACAATGTTTCTAAGCGCTTAACAAACATACAAAGTAATGTTAATCTACGCAAATATTGTACATGAAACATAATTATAATAACAATTTTATAATAAAGAGGTCTTTTTCAAGCCTGAATGAAAAAGGATGGATTATGCTCTACAAGACAGTGGCGGATCCACGGGGGGGGGGGGGGGGGAGGGGGCGCCCCCCCCCCCTTGAGAAAAAAAATAATATAAAATCACGTGGTTTTTACCTTTTTGGGGGGTTGCAAAAAAAAAATTGGGCCCCCTCCCCTAAGAAATCCTGGATCCGAGCCTGCTACAAGACCATTATCCGGCGTACTCTTAAATATTGTAACTTGGTTTGGTGTCCCATGTTCAAGAAAGACGAACATTTACCGGAAAAGGTGCAGCAAAGAGCTACCCGTCGTCAACTCGCACATCTTCGTCACCTAGAATACCATGAGAGATTGAAAGCCCTCGGACTAGAGCAAGTTAGAGACAATCATTTAACGAAGACAGAGAGCTGAGATGATTCAAATCTTTAAGATTATGACAGGAATTGACCGGGTGGATATCAACACATTTTTTCAACTAGTCCACGAATCCAAAACCAGAGGCCACAGTATAAAAATGATGAATCCAAAATGTGACTCTGTGCTTCGTCAAAATTTCTTCTCTATGCGAAGTTGCAACAACTGGAATTCCTTACCAGACTCGGCAGTCAGTGCAACAAGTGTAAACCAGTTCAAATCCATCCTTGGGAAATATTGGTACAGCCACCCCCTTAAGTACAGTCCATACCAGAGAGATAGCATTACCTATTATAGAGGGGCAAATAGTAAACATCAAAGTTAGTAGAATAACATAATTAATCTTTACATAGCGCTTTATAAATTAATGTGATTACATTAAATTACTCTCGAAGGTTTATAAAGTTGGGGACTCGCGTATTCCGAATGGTAAATTACATAACAAATTATATTGAACAAGAAAGCAAAATCATATGTGCCGCCCTCTCACCTCAAATACATTATAATTCTACCACCTGCTTGCATTCACTTGCTACCTTCGAGGTGCGATTGAAATCAAAGCTGTTTACGTTTTGCCTGCTGAACCGGGATAGTTACGTACCTCTCATTGGAACTATCAACTTTCTAAACAACTGCTTCTTTGGAAGCCATTTGGCGTTTTTTCGGAACTCTGTGACTTTCTTCATGATTAGCGTCACGATCGTTGACAGGCCTTAATGATGGAGAAGATAGAGGGTAAGTGATTATAGATGAGGTTTCAGTGAAGCTAGTTCAAAGGACCGGATATATACCAGTGGGAGGGCGGGCCGGTGGATAGGGCGTAGTGGTGGTGGTGGGACGGCTAGTGTAGGGGGCGCCCGATCTACTGGTTGTGGTGGCCGTCATACTGGCGGCTTTTATGTACTCGTTTCTTTACATAGTGAAGAACACTATTGTTTACCTACTGCAAATAGCGATTGCAAGGAAATGAAATACCGCGAGGGATGTTCGTCAAGAATGATAAACACATGACAATTAACTAAAACCAGTGGAAATGTAATTAATTGGTATAGCATAGATCTTCAGTTCATGAAAAGCTAGCTGCATACCCCTTATAAGTTAGAAGATTAATAATAGAAGAAGAAAAATGCAATGTAATTTGAAATTGTATAACTGTAATAGGCCTCCTAGTACTGTTGTCCAATTCATAACTGGGCTTTAAAAAAGAAATGACACAAGTTAGTCCAAGTCATTAATCATCGTAATTGTAATTGAATCCAGCAATACATTGTACAATGTACTGTAAGTAAGGAGATCATACATGTGGGCCATGGGATACAATGTAGTTTCACTTCTCTTGTACCTTTCCTTTTTGTTACACGACTTCATAGAAATGCTGTGTAGCGGTGAAAACAGGCCATTTGAGGTAGTCTGGTATTTCATTAAACTGTTGTCAGTCTGGTGTTAGTCTCAGTGTGACTTGGTTTTTAAGAAGAGACATGAGGAATTAATATGAAGACTGTCGATACTTCATAATTATGCAGAGAGAGAGAGAGAAAGATTATTATACTGGATTTACACAAAAGGGTTCATTTGTTCTATACAACTGCCAGGCTGCTAGACTTTTACCCCAGGGTGAATGAAGGTGACCTTATTTTGTAAAGTTCAAACTTCAACACTAAACCCCTGTTCCATTGAAATCGAGCCAACTGCAGTCAATTCAAAGGGATTGCACTGCATGGCCTTGCTGGAAAGGCAGTTATTACATGTATATAATGGCAGACTGAAACAAATATGTTTAGATCACTTGAGCTCAAGCAATTTTTTGATTGATTCAATATATCAGATTTTAGTAACTGTCATGTTACATGTTGTTCAGATACAATGTATGTTTGTGTATGTAATATCCTCAAAAAGATGTCAAGCTTTCAAATGAAGGTGGATTACACATGATGTACTCCAATACATATCTTTGTCACCAATTGGCATGAACATGTATTATGAATAGAGGAAGAAAGTTTGTGAAGATAAACTAACATACTACCCCCAGGCCCCACACTCTCCAGGCTCCATGTGTCTTTGATAAGCTTGTTACCTCATTATGAAACGTGACAGACTGAAGGAAGCCTTTGGTTGGATCTTGATAGGACAATACAAACATCCATGTCTGGCAAGTCTAGTACTCCATCTTCAAGCTAGTAGAGGCCGGGTTTGTTCAGTCATATTCCTGAGTTTCTTATTATTTTGGAGAATTTGTACGCAGGTCACTCTGGCTAAAATTGTAGAGGAGGAATTGTGTGAACACTTTTTCTTCTATTGTCATCAAAGAAAATGCAATCAATACTTTCTTAATTATACACATAAGTACAGCCAGCACTGCCGCAGCAGGTTACAGGTTTGCCTAAAATCTGGCTCATTGCCTAAACCACGGACAGTGACAACATGAGTAAGAATGTTGCATGTTAACATCAGCGGAAAAGCATCGGTGGGTGTTGCAGTTGACATTCCATTGCCTTTTGTTTTAGGCTTGCCAAATCACAGAGAAACAGGCAAGCAACCAAAACTTACCAAATAAAGTGCACTGAACTATCTCTAATTCTCCTGTTGGGAAATGTTAATATAATGGTCTTTTTGTGTTATATTTCTCTTGAATATGATGTTATTTCAAGTAATTATTCTTTAAACTTAAAGATTATTATGTACACAGACATGTATATTGCAAGAAATCATGCTGTGGTATTTCCTGGATTCATCTTTCAATATAATTATCCAACTGTTTAAAATGCACTTTTACAATCAGTGCAAATTGCATTCAGCTTAAATGGAAAGTAATATAGGGAAATGAGTTACACACTACCTACATGTACATGTTTTTTAAAATATGTGAAATGTATATTGTTAAAGGGCAATCCAATCCTTGGATTGGGAGGCAAACTTGCAAGATACGTCCCAGAGTTGCCGACTTTCTTATTCTTAATAGAATATCGCTCAAACTTTCACTTATCTTTTTTTCTCACATTTCCTGCTTTTATTAAAACCAACTTAATATCAGAGCGGATTACTCTTTAGTAGTGAAATAATGGTCATTTTGCACTCAGTTGAGCAGAAAATACTTCACTACACCAAGGTAACAAACCAACAATGTGTGATATAGCTATGAAACTAAACTACACTTGAAGTAAGTATGATGTGTAACTCATTGATTTCTTCTTTTATTTTGTGGGGATTAGAGGATCAGGGGTCACAAGAAAAAACACAATTAAGGTGGCTGATATGGCAGACTTCAGATGACACAGTATCACTCACAGCACTGTATTCTTTTCTCTTAAAAAGAGGTAGATAAACTGTGGTTTTATGGGCTGTTTAGTGGACTTTTTAGCAACTCGACATTATCCCCAAGCGTTCATATGATCAGCTCTTCAACCATCTGTGAGATAGTTGCTGGTGCCTTGACACAATGTACAAATCAAGCCCCTCAAAGAAGTGGATCCACTGACATGCATTGAGATCTATGTACATCTATAGTGTAGAATGGATTGCACGGCAATCCACCAAGTAATATGATACCCCTTTCAAACTGGCCTGATTTTTGTTGGATGGTAACTTCAATCCCATCCTGCTGAAGACATTACCAATTTGACTGTCAACCATTTCCGCATCTTGCAGGCATTGTTCTTCTTTGGCAGGAGATGGACAGGTTCATTGAAGGCACGTTGCCCCAGATACCAAAGACATTTCAAGAGTACCGGTATTATAATTCTTACCTGGTCTAGCAAACATGGGTAGGAGAAGAGATGAAATGCCCTGTTGAAGAATGAGTGTAATGATTCATACTTTTCCAGAGGCTATGATTATAAATGAGATGTAATAATCAGCTGGCTACCAGTATACTGTAGAGCAGTCAATGTCAATGACAGTACTTAACAGCTAGCCTTCTGCAAGTACTGGTAATAATAATAATACTATTCTGCTTTTATATAGCGCCCAATACATTGATACGATGATGTGCCTAAGTTCTTTACATATTATTACCCTGGTCATCGGATTCAGGCTTACTCCTAAGAGCAGTTTGTATGGTCAATGATAGTAACTAACAGCCTTCTTGCAAGTAGCCAATGAATTTTAGGCTTTATCTACTGTGCTGGACTACAGTACATTAAGTTATAAATTAGACATTGGTGGTGGTGGTGGTGGTTATTTTACCTGACTGCTAAGAAAGCATAAATGCTTGTAAGTAAGCAACCAGATGGCCAACGGCTTTAGGTCCTCTCCGAGGGACCTGGTAATGAGGATTAATGCCTTACCAAAGGGCACTAGCGCATCGACTTGGTTTCGAACCCTGGTCACTGGATTACGAGACCACTGCTCTACCGACTGAGCTATCGCGCCTTCAATTATAGTAGAGCCCTCCAATATTTGCCTATGAACTATATTTTTTAATGATTTTAAACTTCAAAATGAACTTAAAGGTAATACAAAGTGTTGGGAAATTTGGGAAACTGGGTGGATACTGATTCTTTATAATTTTGATATATTTGGATGCCCCTGTGGATGTATTATAAGCACTAGAAAATTTAGCCCCTAAAACACTTCTGCTTTCGAGGAAAATTGACTACAAAAATTTACCGGTGCTCCCGGTAAATTTTGATAAATTTTAAATAGCGCCCACGGCCGTACAATGGCAACTACGACCATGAAAATCTCAGAATATGTAGTTCTGATATGTAATTTCCGAACGGGAATAGAAAATCGGTCGATTTTAGTCAAGAAGGATTGTTTATAGCTGAATTAATATTTTGACCTTGAGAGGGAGCTATACATCATAAAAGTTTATTATTCACAATTTCATAACTTTAGACTCAATTTCAACCGCGACAACCATCACTGAATATCGTAGGATCGCATATGCTTCCAAACCAAATTCATGACCCCATACCAAAACTTTGTATTACCTTCAACAATAAACCTAAATGGATATTTACCGGTCACTTGTAAGGTGTAATGTCAAAATTATTATA